GTGTGGCCTGAGCAAAATGCTAATTAAACACAAAGCTCAGATAATTAACAAAATAAATAAATAAATACGTTTGGAAAACAAGCTGGTATCACAACTCCTTTTTTTCACCAGAACCTATTTTTAAAATATTAAACTGGCTCAAACGTCCCTCTTTAAGCAGGTGAGAATCTACGCCATCTGCTAAAGGAAGGCTGTGAAATAGCACAACAGGGATAGCAATTCGTTTGCACCAGGGGGAAAGTCTATGAATTTTAGAAGCTACATAAAGAGATCCCTATTTAAAGCTAATCTCTACCCTCTCTTTCTCACTCCACTGGAGTGACTGGTTCTTCTCTCTGTCTTCTGTTCATAAGTCTTTTGGGCAAAATCTGATTGAAAGGTTGGCATATGCCTACCATTTTAAAATACCTCTAAAAGGAGTGGGGGTGTTTGTGGTAGAAGATGGTATTGTGCAGAGTGAACATCTGAAGTTAACTATAGGAGCCAAAAAAAGGGAGCCAAATTCATTCCTGGTGTAATTTTGTTGATTTCAATAGAATTACCCAGTGATTAATTTGATCCTTGGGCCCCTAAACCTGCATTTAATGGCTATATCCATCTTAGGCACCTGAATGTTCACTTGAGACACCTACAAGCAGATTAAGTCAGACGTAAGTGCTTATATTTGAATAATGTGATGTCCAAACTTGTTGCATTTGTGACACTCAAGGCTCTAAATCAGGACCTTGCAGAGTGATTGTGTTAAGAGGGAAATTTGCATATGAATCTGCATGGATAATGTGTCCTCTGAGTTTCAATTTTTAAATAGAACTGTTGGAACCAGTTCCATCCAGGGAGGAAGTGAAAGCAAGATAGGCATCTGGTTGCTCTGTATGAGCCCATGGGAGTGATGGCTCCTCTTCTTGATATAGAAAAGGTGGAAAAAGAGGAAAATCTGAGAACCAACCACCATATACAACTCCCTGATTCCCTGCCATACTTGGGGTCGGCTCTAACTTGTACCAGCTGGCTATGGTACCCTTGGCAACATACACCAGCTGGGGATAGATGAAGCAAAGCACACTCCATCCTCCGCCCCCTTGCCTTTGCCTCTGCACCATGGACTGTGGAGTGGGAGGCAAAAGAGTCAGCTATGCTGACTCTATGGCTGCTGGGGACTCTTCTGCTCTGGGGTAATCTCCAGCAGAGTACTTGTGGGTGATGTCTGACCCTTTGTACTGCCTAATCAGTGCAAAGGGGGGAATGAACCAGAGCAGAAAATCTATCCATAGTATTACATTGTGGCTCCTTAATTTTAGTGAAATACTATGTTGGTCCTTCAGGCTAAAAAGGTTGGACACCCCTGAATTAAGAGGGCAGTGCCAAGATCAGAAGCCAGATTCTCAGCTGGTGTTAATTGATGTCACTCCATAATGAAGAGACTCTGATTGACATCAGTTTAGCATCTGCCACAATATATTATAGGTGGAGCTGGTAGCACTGCCTATCGTTAAGGTTGCCCAGTGCTTTCCATTATAAGAAGCTGTTTTTAGTTGCTTATAACTTTGCAAAAATGTAACTGTTCCGGTTGAAATTTTCTACCCCTGGTGTCTGCCTCAGGCTGACTGTTTTGGGAAAGTTTCAGCAAAACTGGTCAGCCATTTCCAAGAATGAGAGTAGGGGAAAATACATTGTTTTGCTTATTTTAAAAAAATTCTTACATCTGTTTGGTTGAGAAGTTCTAGCATCAACATACTTCAGACCAGGGGCTTAACATTTGGCAGAGAGAGAGGGGTCACCCTGGTGTCATGGATGTGCCTTTTGTTGTCCCCATGTTAATTTGCCCTAATTTGGCCAAGTGATAAGCCTCTGGGAAAAAAAAATCTCAGTTTGCATAAACTCAGTGGAGAATTCCTACAGCATCACTGCTAAGAATTCCAAAGATTCTATCTGCATCAAGCATGTGCCAGTCCAGGACTGAGCAGGACTTTCCTTGCAATTGCTGTCCGCAGTTGCTGCTGAGATGCCAGGCACAGGAACCAAGAATAGACAGACTGACTCTCCTGCGTTTCCAGTGTTCCTCCTGGTGGTGCCCAGGCAACATGGAAGAGAAGGAGTAGGATGCCTGACTAACATGGAGAATGATGAGGCAGGCAGGAGCAAAAGGTTGGAGGAGATGGATGGGAGCAGAGGAGGAAGGGGACAGGAGCTAGGTTGGATGGTGGATAGGAGCAGAAGGGGAGGGGAGCAAGAGTTTGGGGAGGGGGAATAGATAAGATTAGACTGGGGCAGAAGCCATGGGGTGAGGGTGGATAGATGAGGAGAGGGAGGAGGAAAGGGACAGGAGTTGGGGCATGATGTGGCAGATAGAAGCAGAGGGGGAGGGATGCAGGAGCTGGGGGTGATGTGGTGGAGCAGGACCAGGGAGGAATAAACCAGTGAGTGGATAGAAGGACAGGGGACTGGATCCAGTAGGACTGGGTAGAATATGAGCAGAGGAGGTGGATAGAAAGAGAAGGGAAGGGGACAGGAGCTGGATGGGAGACAGACAGGAGAAAATGGGGGTGGGGACAGAAGCTTGAGGAGGACTAGACAGAAGTGTCTATAACAACTATAGCACACTGGTCTCAGGAAACTGGAATTGAATGTAGGAGTCTTGAATCTTTACTATCCTCTGCTGACAGCAAATATTGGCAAAACACACTAGCACAGTGTATGCCTCATCCCCCTCTAGTGCCTAGTCCACACATAGGATAACAACCTACCATTGCTGCCATTTAAAATGACCAGTTATGTTGTATTGTGGTGACAAATAACACCAGCTTTCTGATTCAATGACACTGGAACGTGTGTGCGCAGCTTTCGTCCTTCCTCATGGAGAACTATTTAAATATGATTTGCTCTATTCTGTTCACTTCCTCTGAAGTATCTGGCACCTGCCACTGTTGGAAGACAGGCTACTGGGCTAGATGGACCAGACCATTGGTCTGACCCAGTATGGCCATTCTTATGTTTTTATGAATACTTATCATGATTAGAGGTTTGTTTATTTTTAGAATTCCAGCAGGCGGGCAGAGTCAGAGGCTCCAGAGTCACTGGCAGAATTAGTTGCTGTGGCGTTGCAATCTGTGTTCTTGCTGCTTCTCCCCGTTTAATTGTTTCTAGGAGCTCTAACGCAGGGATTAGACTCCAGAATAAATCAGGAAGTGTCTGCATATTTAGCTATTTCTTTTTAATTTAACTAAACGAAACTAACCACTTAAAATTGACTATACTCGGGACAATTCACTTTTCTGCTAGACAATTCACTGTCTCCTTCCAGAAGTACTGATTTACCCACATCTCCAACAGAGGTCAGCAGAGCCCCATTGGAGAGATTTATTTACTGTATTCATACTTTATTATTGCAAAGATTCCCTTCATATGCATCTGAAAGCAGACCACATGAAAAGGCCATCACCAAAGCACACATTCGCCTCTCATTACTGGTTTCTAAAAAGCTAAGCAGTTTCTTGTGAGTCTTCTCGCGCTTCATATCCTGAAGGCAGATCTGATCCTGTTTATTTAATCTATCTATCGACCTGACCTAGTCCGTTATTGACATGGTTTTGCGCCACTTTCCCCTTGTTCTGGCAGCTTGAGAGGCAAATCATGAATGAAAGAAACGTGGATTCTGCTATCGTTACGCAAGTGAATATTTCCCTTAACTTCCACAGGTCTGCGCGTAAGGAGTCCTTCGGGGGGGAAAGGGTTGCAAAATGAGGCCCTGAATAAGTTAAAAGTCAAGGACCCCATTCCAGTTGAAGAGCGGCAGAAGAAACTGACACGTTATTACTGGGGGCCCGGAGAGAGACACATTTAGATCTCCTGTATGAGGAATTTCCCCCCAGCCTTCTAATTTACACTCTGTACGGCTCTTCATTGATAGTAATGCAAATTAATATTTTAAATCAGGTAAAGATTTTCGGCCTCAAAAGAAGAAATGCAGGAATAGGCTTCTCCGGCATTAACTCTAACTGCTGCCTTGCTTCCTATTTCTCTGTTGCGTGTTTTTCTTTTCTCTCTCTCCCCCCCCCCACACTTATACAGTAGTGTGACCCCTCCCCGCACCCCGCCCCTTTGGAGTCCCAATCCGATTGCTAATCAGGTTGAAAGGACATGGACGTGGCAGTAGTCTATCGACCAGGGAGAAATTAACTCTTTGCCTACAGCCCTTTCCGTGCCCTTTCCCCAGTGCGATCTCTCTCCCCCCGTCCCCTTGTTTTCTCCTTATAGTTTACCTGCTGCAGAAATGTGTCTCACACTCACCCCGTTTGCCAAAAGGCTAAACATGTGCTCTAATTAGCCACACTCCCAGTTATGCTTCCAGCGCCGCCACAGCAGAGTCCCCGGTAGCACCCCCACCCTGGTTCCTAACCGGAAAATCCAATCAACAGCCCCCCAAAGGCAAAGCCACGGAAACAAAGAGAAGAAACTAACGAGCAGACTGGGAAGGGTCCTCGTGAGGGACCGGCTGAGATTTATAGCTGCTGAGATCGCAGCGCGGCACGAACAATGCAAAGGGACATGAGCGTGTGTGTTTGCGGCTGTTCAGACGCGTCCTTTATGTTTCTGATCTAATCTCCTGCGTTGAACCTCACCGCTGTGCATTTTAAATCCCTTGGCAAAGGGGGGGAGGGGGGCAGGTAATGAAAACCGAGCAAGGCTGAATCTCTGCCCTAACTCAGCAGCTGAAATCGCTATCATTCCTCTGGATCCATGCATTCCCTCGGTGGGATTTGTTTCCCTTCTTTAAAGAAGAGGCTGGGGGGGGGGGGGGGGAAGGGGGGATTTATAGGGGTAACAGCAGCTAGTGATGTCAGCCCTTGCCTAAAATAGAGAAGGATAGACTGCAAATCCACAGCTAGAAGGCTAAAACCTTCCAATCCAGCCTCAGCCAACACCATGTCAATGTGAAGTCACCCACCACCTCTTCCCCACACATACACTCACATGCACACCCCCTCCCCCAACCCCCCCTCCCCCACCACTCCAGGAGGAGAAAGCAAGGGATCAAAGCCCAGGTGTCCTCCACAGCCTAACCCGGCCGTCCGCTGCTCAGTTTCCACTAGGGCTGGCGGTGCTTTTTCCTGCAAGACATGAAAACCTAAAAGACGTGGAGAATATCAATCCAACAGGAGGTGGTGGAAGTGGAGGGGGGGGGGGGGAATCTGAAGAGCAGAGCTTCTGGAGTCTCGCCTTTTGGAGCCTTGAGGATTATACAAGGAATTTTTGTGCTACTACTTAGACGCTAAAGGGGGTTATCCAAAAGACAGAGCTTCCTTTGCATCCCACCTCCCTTGGATTCTTGAGAAGACAGGGGGGCTTTCAGGACCATGGCATCGCCAGAAGGGTGAGGAGGACTGTCAGTTTTGGAGGGTGGGATGGGAGAAAGCGTGTGTGTGTGTGTGTGTGTGCGCTCGCTGTGCTGTGTTGTGCTTTGGGTGACAGTTTCATTGCATCTGTTTCGGTTTATCCTTCACGCCTCTCCCCTTAAACAAAACCACCAGGGCGCAAGACGGAAAACAGTCAAAGGCAAGCGAGGAGAGAGAATGGAATTTCAAAAATGAGCCGCTGGGAAGGACTCATTTGCCTACCTTCCGCAGATGTAAAGGCAAATGTGATCAAACCACCTGCCTCAAAGCTGGAGAGGTGCCCAGATCAATGGTTAAAATGAACAATAAATGGGTCTCGGTGTATATGTCTAGTCTATATTATGCGCTCTAACAAACAAAGGGAGGGAACAGAGGAACTAACCAAAACCATTTTTATATTGCAAAACTCTTTAAGGTCTGTGCCAGTTACAGTTGAAATGTTGTAAGAGGGGATAAGAAATGCTGGGGCGTGCTGAATATTACACAAGAGGCATTATTTATGGTACAGTAAACACAATGTGTTCACGATAGGACAATCCCTCTCCAGCTCTTGTGAAATGTCTGCGAGCACCAGCCACTTATTGGCTTCTCTAGGCTCTGTATGTGTGTGTGTGTGTGTGTGTGTGTGTTTAAAAAGGTCTGCTCGCAAAAGGTTTCTTTGATCGCTGGTTGCCCTCCTGTGATATTGTCTAGCAATAGCATTATAATGCGTCTGGCGTGAGCCTCCCTCTTTATCCGTGGCCCTTGTCAGGTTGGATCAGCATGATCTGCGCTAGACAGGACCCTCCGAGGACACACTGCAAAGGGAGGCTCTGTTTATATATTGAGTTTGTGTCTCCTGGGATGAAAGACTCGATGAGCTGATTTCAGTAACCTGGAGCCAAGGGGCACATTGCTGTAAAGCGTAGGCACCTCAGTGTCACACTACCTGGGCAAAGAACTGTGTCTTCTTCCAGGCAGATGGGCGTTAGGCCAGCTGACTTGTGGAAGTTGTGTAGAAATTACAGGCGCTGTTTTCCCCCCTAGGCATTCTAATACCCCCAGAAAAAATTAATTCCACGTGTATTCACAGCAGAGCTCTGGCACGGTGGAGCAACAGAAACTTTCTTCTCTGCCAATAATAGCTTAGCCTTGGGTACCATGCTACCTCCGGAGGGAATTGATAGACCATATATATACACACAACTGTTCTAGTAAACTGCACAGCACTTTAGCATTTCCCGTTGACAATGAAATGACTAATTAGACGTTATGAACAGATAAATGGAGCGGCAAGGGAACAGATTTAAACTGGGAAAACAGAGTACGTCCCAGTGACTGTAGTTGGCCACATCTTACCATTGTGTTTTCATGCCCCAGCTTTGACTCTCCTCTGTGCACCATGCAGCCAGATGCCTGTTTTTATTTTAAACTATGAAGTATTTCCTAGGTATATGTTTATTTCAGAGACCCATAAACGAATGTATTAGCTACTGTGACATTGTTTATACAGGGAAGATAACACAACAGCCAGATCAACTATAAGCAAAGACACAGGCTGATAGGTAGATTTTTCAGTTTGAGATGAAGTAAACATTTTCAAAATATAAGCAAACATAGGAGTGCTTTTTAAATACATTGATTGTACAGCCAGATAAAAGAGAGAGAAAAGGGTTTCAATAAACACACTTTTTTTCTCTCTCCTGTTGGAGCACATAATGGGGGCAGGATAGGAAAAGAAGGAAGAAGTTTAAGAATCGTCTTCAAACTCCTACAGGAATGAATATAGATTAAGAAAATCTGGAGCATGGAGCAGCAGTGACTTCATGCGTCATCTCTATTTATTTGGTGTATTTGATATAAAAATGAACCAACATGTCTTAGGATCCTTCAGATATAAGCATAACTTCAGTCTCTGCTGCTTTTATCAAAGAGATTTTCTCCCAAACCACCTGTCTCCAGTACGACAAAAAAACCCCAATCAAACCAAAAAACTTCCAGCCCCTTCCCCTGTCGGGTATATATCTGAGGATAGAGCTAAGCCTTCTACTATGGTCTAAACGTCAACAAACTCATGCTCTTTTGGACTAGCAAGGAAAGTGAATTCTGGAGTCATGGGACTTTCTCTATGAATGGATGTCTACCAATCCCTCAACATTTAACACGAGGGTCTGTTAGCTGGAAGGCCACAGATGACCTCCACTGTATAGCAGTATACAGCGTGAGACTCAGTCTCTCAGGTATGTGTTTCTAAATGGGGAAAAGACAGAGAGAAATAGAGGCTAGTATGAAAAAGCAAAATGGAACTGAGACAGGTTAATCTGACATTCTGCTCCTGAGTTAGATAGTTAGGGCGGCACTGACGTTCAGAAAAACACACTTTCAGAGGTGCGTGTGCTGTACCTGTATTTAAAATTAATTTGTGAGTTATTTAACAATTTATCTCTAAATTGGGGAATTTGCACGAAAGTCTCAAAGTTGAGGATGAGTCAAAAAACATCACAATTTATTTAGCAAATAATAACACAAAGCACCAAAAATATACATAGAGGAGGGCAAATATGCACTCCATTCCCCAGAGGATATTGACTATGTACAACCAGTGTTCACAGGGGAGGGAGATTTCCTTGACTCCCCCCTTTCAATAGTGATTGCCACAGAGGCAAAAGTCTGAAGAAACTGAAGAAAGAAAGCAATCTACTGTCTGGAAAAATCTGTTATGATAAAAAGAAAAGGAGGACTTGTGGCACCTTAGAGACTAAGGTCTCCTTAGTCTCTAAGGTGCCACAAGTCCTCCTTTTCTTTTTACGGATACAGACTAACATGGCTGCTACTCTGAAACCTGTTATGATAAGTTTCTTTGCTAGCAACAAACCCAACTAAAATGAAAATGTAGAATGAAATGTCCCTTGAAATAATAAAATCAAACCTTGTGAAGGCTGAGAATCAACGTTCCTTTAATTGCAGCCACTGCTGGTTTTCTTAATGCTAAATACATTGGCTGGTATTTTGATTGCTGAGTCTTCCTTTCACAGAGTCCCCTGACATGAATAGCATTACCAAACTTTTAGGCTGCTGTCTCAATCTGGAAACAGCTAACAAGTGATGCAGGGAGGAAAGTTCAGAGCCTGGTACTGACATTCACAGTTGTACTGTATAGTTCAAAGAGTCATTCACATTATTACATATTCCTAAAATACCTATTACCATAGTGTCTAGTGTAGCACTTAATTTCTGTGGGTTTGGTCCTGCAAGGTGCTGAGCACTCCAATCCTGATCCTGATGGACATGTTCTTCACTTTCAGCATATGAGTAGCCCCATTGAGTTACAGGGGACCGCTCCTACCTCTAAAGATAAGCATAGGCCTATGTGATTCTTGGGTCAGAGTCAGAGTGCTCGGCACCTTGTGGGATCAAGTCCCATAGTATCTACTTATCAGTCTAATCTGATTCCCACTGAAGTCAATGGCTGTTTTCCCATGGAGAGCAGGATCAGGCTCTATATCTCTTAATACGTTTATTCTTTTTAAAGGGAGTTGGCCTAGTACATAAGTATTGCTTTAAAACTTACTTTTACAATCTAAGATGGACTGAAGCTGTTACATTTGGATCTATATTTTGAAGACCTCCCAAAGCTCAGGTGTTTTGGTTTTAGGCTATTCTTGCAATAGGGGATATTTACAAAATTAGCATATGGGTCTGGGTTTGAATTTTAAATACTTAACTTCCAGAGTTTTTGTTTTGGATTTACCCATAACAAGACTGTAACCATAGTGAGGCTTCTGGTGTCACATAAGTGCTAAACAATCAATGTCCAAACTAATCAAAGCCAGAATAGCCCTCCCCATACAATTTCCATTACTCCTTAAAGCGTCCCATTAAAACTCTCTTTGTGGCATTACAAAACATTCTCATGAATGACCCAGAGACAAGAAAGTGTGATGATGCAGGCAGCAAAAGAAAGCACTTCATCATATAAGAAAGACACAGGCAGAGAAGCACTAGTATAGATATGTTAAAAAGAAACAATTGTATTATATATGAATATGAAAAATAAAAACCAGTGAAAATGGAACAGCTCACTAGAATTCTCCTGACATTCAACAATACAGATGTATCAAGATGTTTATCCAGTCCTGTGAGCTTATTGGTAAAATCATCTCAGGTACTTTATAATTTTATATACATAGAGTTTATTTAAGAGACTGTATGCCAGCAGCGTTCTCACCCTGTTGTAAATGTAGTATATAGTTCAAGTTATCCCTTCCCGGGATTTGGCTTTATTGACTCAATTAACAATAGCACAACATAAACTGCAGCCTAAGCTTTCTCCCTAAGCTTCCTTCAGGACCTCTATCTCAGCCCTTAGTTTCACCAGCTCTGAGGCATGACGGCCTTTTTTCTACTCCTAGATTGGACACATCTGATTTTAACCTCAGAGTGAGTCAGAAAAACTACCTCTGCATTTGTCTGCAGGGTTCAAGCAGCTAACATCAGGGTGATTCCATAGAAGAGCTTTTCATCCCCATGCAGGATCCTAGAATCGGCCACATTGTTACACACACATATATTTTGCTTCACCTGATTTTCATTTAATAATTTATTCATACAACTCTATTAATGTATACATGGACATTAGTTGAAATGTGTTGGCACATATGATTAAATACATTGGATTATAAAATCCACCCAATGTATTTCATTATTATCTTTATTTATTATTGACACAGCACCAAACAGTGTTGTAGACCACTTAATTTGTGTTCAGTCTCCACATCTGTGGGGCAGATGGAACGGATGAAGCACATAAATGAAAGACATGGACTATGGCCCTGACCCTGCTCTCAGTGATGTCAATAGCAAAACTCCCACTGAATTCAATGGACAGGATTAGGCCCTGTGAAATATAAAGCATGTTCCTTAAAACTAACTGCTGATGACACTACAGCCCATGAGACACCAGGTTTCAGTTCAACCTTGAGTAACAATTTCAAAGAGA